TTTGCGGTTTTCCCTTTAATTATGATTTAATAACAAATGAAAATGAATGTGTGTTTAAATTTGTCAATTTACTTAATAAAATTGAATTTTCAGTATATTAAAAAGATTTCTTCTTTGTTTTGTTTCGTTTGTCAAAACCAACTTCCAGAGTGAAAAAGAATTTATGCGCACACAACACGAGAGCTTGGGCATAAAGAGCAGCAATGGCAGAGTATCCAAAGTATGTTTATACTTCACCCGTGTGGATGCAACAAGACCAACAAGATTTTTTTTCTCATAAAGGCGGAAACACAAGCGATTGGTCAAAACAAATTGCTTTATGTGCAGACAGAGAAATGCCAAGCTTCTGTTTCATCATCCGTCCCTCAGGTATGCTGCGTTAAAACAAACAAAGAAAGAACTATCACACATGGTCTCTCTAAATAAGTATTATGATGTTCAAAATTTAATTAATACATTTAGATACATTAAAAACTTTTTTTTTCCTGCAGTAGCCCAAATCAGCAGTTCCCAACCTTTTTTTCCTAGTCACGTACCTCCTGCTACCAATGACTCTAAATAAGTGTCTATAAATAAAACGACAAATAAATAATGAGCAGTTGATTATTTTTCATTAATTATAAAAGTACAGTGGTACCCTGAGATTCGAATGCTTCAAGTAACGAAATGTTTGAGAAATGAAAGGTCTCGCGGGAAATTTTTTGCTTCGTGATACCAAAAAAAATTCCAAGATACGAAAAATGCCAACAGTTCTGCTCTAATATCCGCTTAGGTCTGACGTCACGCTGTGTTTCCGTGTCCTGGCGCTCTATTCTCCTATTGCAGACAGTGTTAAAGGGAGCTGATGCGCTTTAAATCGAGCGAAACATTATGTATAGATTACTAATAATGTATTATAACAAATGTTAGAGGCAAGGTGTCGTGAAAGAAATAACATTTATAACGTGGAAAGTGCTGTTCTGTAGCACAAGCTAGAGAAACTCTGTGACGCGTTCTCAGAAACATCTCTACATCTGTCTCCGCTTGTGCTTGAAACCGTGTCGGTGTCAGTAATTCATGAAATATCTTGAGAAAGTTATGTACTTGAAACTTTCATATGTAGTGTTGTAATGTTTTCTTCCAATTCATCCCTTCCACCTCCTCCAACACGTCACTTTCACTCTCAAGGTAGGATTTCACATTTGTGTACATATTACGTATTTTTTTATTTTTTTTTACTGTTGTTTCTGAGAGCCGTTGCACGGTTTAGGCGTTTTACATGTAAAACTTGCTTCGAAATACGTTGTTCGAGATCCGAAAGAAAACTTGGAACTGATTAAGTTCGCATCTTGGGGTACCACCGTATTATAAATAATTATTTTGTCGAGTCTGCTTTTATTCATGTCACTTGTTTCTTTTTCATATAAATAAATAGTAAAAAAAAAGATAAATAGTGGGAAACAATTATATTTATTAAAATTTATTTAATTAATTAAAAGGACTTACAGTTCGGCAGTAAACATAAGCACATTGTTACAAGGTCGGATTAATCATAAAACATATAGAAGACTTTTGAGCTGATACAGAAAAATAATCTGCGCTTCAGAGGTTTTTTTTTTTTTTTAAATAAGTAAGTGCTCTCGAAAGAGTTTTTAGTTGCTTTTAAAAGGTTGAAAGAGACTCAGCTGTCCGGATTGGGACTGCAAGAGAGTTCCACCAGCTTGGAACTGTGAAGGAGAAAGTCCTGGTGAGAGATTTTTAATCCCCGCTCTGAGATGGATCCAGCAGACACTGTTCATTTCCTGAACTGAGGCATCTGGAGAGGACGTAGTTTGTGGATTCTTTTAACATTTAAGTCTTTTAAAAGCCTTAAAGCACATTTATGCCATTTTCATGGAATAGAAAAACAACAGTGAAGAGAAAATCAGAACAAAATTTTAATGTCAACTTTGTGATTTTCTTCAACCCTGTACATTTAATGAATATTTTGCATACCTTCGGTGAAGCAGACAAGGTGCAGTGTCCTTTTCGAGACAAGCTTTGTATATTCCACATTCAGTGCACACAAAAGAATGTGCGGGCTGTTTTTGAGGGACAGTTTGAACATATAGATGTGTCTGTAGTGAAAGAAGTGGTTGACACCATGACAGACAGTGATTTCAAAAGGCTTCTCAACCAAGGGTACAATTGGGGGTAATGGTCATGAGAATTTGTGTCTAATTAGGCTTCTTCCTCTTCTTATTGGCCCTAAAATCCCAGAGGGTGACGACACATTGGAAGTACTGTTGATCCTCAAGAACGTATACATCCTTGACTACAAAGTGGCTGAGCACAGAAACCTTTTGCTAGTCCTGGTTGCTCCATCTATCTGCATTAATGGGTTTCATTATGTCAAACTGATATGGTTCTTTTAACTGGAATGTGTTCAGGGCTGCCTGATTTTAAGCAAATTTCTCAAATTGTTGAAGTGAACGCAGAAATGCTCTTTGTGCAAAGTCATGACGGCCAGGTATTTTTAACATCTACATTCCTATGAGCTCTGCTGCCCAGATTTTACATCTTTTTGCTTGCTAAGGCTTGATGATCTGAGTGATATTGTCCTATTGTCTGCCTATAATGTAAATGGGAAACTGACGGTGACAGTGGAGCGTTATATTCTTTGCTGAATATCTATTTTATGCTTTCCTTCCAGATGGAATATCAAGAAACAATGAAGAGTTATAATTTCAGAAGCTGATATCAGAAAAGTCACACTGACTTCAAAGCCATCTTCAGTTAAAGGTTTGATGAGCCATCTTAAAAGCACACTAGAACTGAATTATAATTTATCAGAGTCAGAGATTCTGACTTTGATAAAGAGTTTTGTAACCTCATTGACTTCTCAGAGCTACCCCAGAAGCCAACCTTAAAGATCATTATTTGGATTTGGATTTGAATCCCGGGATTGAATTATTTCCACTGTCTTTAACAGAAATGCAGTAATCAAGTACAGCTTATATAGTCATAGTAGTTGCATCACCCCAGAAAAGGAAGAAGCCATGGCCAGATATATTTTTAATTCCTAAACTTGGCCTACTTGAAATATGGGACGTGACCAAAAATAATAAAGGAACTAAAACTTAAAATTTTACAATAACTTGCGAAGTCGATATACTCTTTCAAAGCCTACACATCTGCTAATGAGCTGAAAGAAGTTACCAAGGCACTGGTGAACACCCACCTTTGTCTACAAGATCACAAACCGCCGTCTGGATTCTGTGGATGGACAAGCAGCTAGAAGAACAAAATGGAGCAAATGCAGCAAAAAAAGGAAGATACTCAAACAGCAAAGACCCACCCAACAAAACATTAAGAAACCTCTAAAGGGGGAGGTAACTGTCTGATGTTGGTGGATGAGTGAAAAAAAGGCTGATGCAGTCTTTATAAATAAAAAAATGAGCATGACTTTCTCCATAAGACGTCAGGATGTAGTGATCAACAAGCCACCTGTATCACAACTACTTCAGCGTTGGCCAGCACTGAAAAGAAAATCAGATAAAAATTTCTTTTGCATGTTATATGAAGTGTTGGTCATTGTATTGCTTGATTTGCATGTAATTGTGTGTGTGTGTGTGTGTGTGTGTGTGTGTGTGTGTGTGTGTGTGTGTGTGTGCGTGCGTGCGTGTGCGTGCGTATGTGTGCGCGTGTGGTTGGAAAGAACCTTCGACAAGAGGTTATCTTGATCCTCACTGTTCAAAGATAATTCAGATATTCCGATGAAGAGGGGTCTTGCAGGACAATACTGCTAATAAGACTATAACATTAAACCAGAACAGTTCACTGATTCTGGAAAGTTATGTGCGCTCTGAAAGTGACCCGAAGTTCAGTCTCTTGCTTCAATGTCCTTTGTGAAGAGATAGTTTGATGTTGAAGCCGGTCACGACGAACTTACAACACTGAACTTTAGTGGAAAAGAATGAAACCGAGTGAAAGCATTGCTCTTGTTGAAAGTCTTCAGAACTTTACGAAACTGCAGAAAACTTTTTCAGAATATAAGAAAGGCTTTGGAGGAGCCTCGCGTCCCCTCCATGGAGCACGAGAGCTTGGAGCATCTGTTTTGCTCCTATTGCTCTTGAAGTTGCTGCTTACTTATCTCATTCTCATTTCTCTGCTGTTGCTTTCTCGTGCTTACTTTCTCTCGTTTGAATTCTGGAACATGAGTTTTAAAGAGCAGTTCTGACCAAACGCGTGTCTTTCTGGCTGTCCCTCCAAGGGGAGGTCCCATCCAATCAGACGGCAGTTCCTCAATGTTCCTCCTTGAGGGAGGTCACCTTCAAATCAAACTACAGATTACATCACTGGTAATCAATCACACTAAAGTCTCGCTAGCAGGAAACAAACGAAACTCCTTAAGATATTATAAAAGGTCCAATGCTTTTTTTGTCTATATGAGGAAGTGTGGTTTTGGGTTGTTTTGCATTGTTTAATTCATTGTTCATTAGCTGTTCATTAAAATGATCGTGATTTCCATGAGGCTCTGAGTCCTCTGTGACTTGCAACAGACTCAGGATGTCTCCTGTCAATGGTTGTTTACTCTGGAGTAGATTAAAGGCTTAGGGGTCTGGTCGTACGAGGCTATAAAGTACGTTATCTCGAGTAAGTTCGGATCGGTCAAGAAGTCTTGGAGGAAACTAGTCCCACTGGAAGATTTCCTGAGGTGGGTGTCACTCATGGCCTGTAGATAGAGTGGTCACTAGTGGCCATTCGATCTCAAAGTTCATTTAAGGATTGCCTGCATTCTTTGGCCTTCCAAAATCACTTCAGCCTAACCAGTGACAGTAAAATAGAAACCTATGAACTTAACGAAGAATTTAAAGATCTGACATAATATTTTTTATTAAGCTACTGGAATATCTTTAGAAATATGAATTCAGGAGATAGAATTAAAGATACATTTTTAGTGCAAATAATTTTTTATTTTATTATATATATATAAGTACACTGTGTTATTCTATAGCTCTACACAAAAAAAAAAAAATTGTGTTGCCGTGGCCAAGTGGTTAAGGTGAAGGACTGGAAATCCTCTAGGGTTTCTCTGTAACAGGTTCAAATCCTGCCAATAACATTGTCTCTTTTGCTGTTTTGAAAAACTTTTCAGTGTAATTTAAAACTAAAAACCGAAAGTTCACTGTGTTTTACCCCAGCTTTACAGAATAGAAATTGTGTTGTAGTGGCCAAGTGGTTAAGGCTATGGACTTGAAATTCTTTGGGGTTTTCCCACCCAGGTTCAAATCCTGGCGATAACAATGTCACTTTTGCTGTTTTGAAAAACTTTTAAGTGTAATTTAAAACTAAAAACCAAAAGTAGACTGTGTTTTGCTACGGCATTACATGAAAAATTGAGTTGTAGTGGCCAAGTGGTTAAGGAGATGGACTCGAATTCCATTGGGGTGTCCCTGCCCAGGTTAAAATCCTGGCGATAACAATGTCACTTTTGCTGTTCATTTGCATAAACATTTAAATGCAATTTAAAACTAAAAACCAAAAGTACACTCTATTTTGCTACTGCTTTACAGGAAAAATTGAGTTGTAGTGGCCAAGTGGTTAAGGAGATGGACTCGAATTCCATTGGGGTGTCCCTGCCCAGGTTAAAATCCTGCCGATAACGCTGTGTATTTAAAAAAAAAATTAAGTGTAATTTTAAACTAAAAACTGAAAGTACACTGTGTTTTTGCTACAGCTTTTAAGTTCTTTCCAGTAATTAATGTTACCTACTAGAAAAGTTACATTTAAGTATTCGGTTAGTAATGTCACAATAACTATTGTATTAACAACCTTAATACAATAAGTAGTATACAGGAGTTCAAATCACTCCTGCAGCCACCATATACCCCAGGAGCCTCTTGATTACACCACTGCACGAGCTGTTAGCAGGGTGCCAGTGTGTTCTACCAGGAAACACACCCGCCTGTTCCTGGAGTTCAGCTCCCTCCAGAGAAGGAAGATTGCTTACACTACGTTGAAGTAGCTTCCTTCTCTGTTGTTTGGAAGACCTATGTGCAAAAGCAACATTGCCCACGGTCAGCTCGATCCACTGTCTTGAGGTAGAGCTATTACAAGCTGATTGAATCAAAAGTCGTGGGGCAAAGACTTGCTCATTGCAACATGAAAAATGGACTGATTATGGCAAAAGATTGTTGAAACACTGATCAGCCGAGCTAGAGATCGGAGGTGCTGAGGTACAGTGGCTCGCTATTGGGGCTATCAAAGCTACACCGGAATGCGAAAGGAAAGCAATCTTCCAATATTTCCAGCTTAAAGCATTGAGAAGAATGGTTTACGCCTTGGAAAAATGAAGAGTTTGTCTGCTTGGTTTAAATACCCAGCTGATTACTAATCACCTATGCCCGGAAATCAATTTGCCCTTTGCAAGATGGCGGATCCAGGTAACTCCCAGGGGAATCGTTTCCATGTAACAGGGTTAAAGATGTATTAAATCATGCCCAAATTGGAGACACGCCATTGGTTACTGCCTGTTAGCAGTGGAATACACAAGGGGGCGGCACCAGACTTGCAGCTGGTAAGACGTCTCGATGAGTGCTCTAGTCCAAATATTAAGATTTTATTAGTTTTATGTTCACAGTTTATGTTTCTTAGTGTTATCATTATTTTGCGTATTTCTGGTCTATTATTTAAATATTGGAGTATGGTTTGCAAAATGTGAATAACACTTGTGAACCAAAATTACCCCCTTTTGTAAAATGTCCTTATTTAGTTTTGGTCCATCGGGAGGACTGTCATCCTTGTAACTTTGGTTGTGTTCTTTTCAGGTATGTGTTTAAGTTAGTAAGTTAGTTATCTTAGTTTTGTTTGTTAATGTGATAAACCGGAACATGTGAGGGTGCTGCATCATCCATGTGGTTTTGGCGCGTGATCTGTGTTTCTTTAGTTCAATGTATTTTCTCAGCCTTGAAAATTTAAATTGTTGAAAATTTATTAAAAATACAAAACCTGGAAAGTCTGGTAAAAATCAGCAGCAATTACAGCCTCAAGTCTTTTTGAATATGATGCCACAAGCTTGGCACACCTGTCTTTGGTAATTTTTGCCCATTCCTCTTTGCAGTACCTCTCAAGCTCTATCAGGTTGGATGGGAAGGGACGGTGTACAGCATTTTCAGATCTCTCCAGAGATGTTCAATAGGATTTAGGTCTGGGCTCTGGCTGGGCCACTCAAGAACATTCACAGAGCTGTTGTGAAGCCAATCCATTAATATTTTGGTGCTGTGCTTTGGGTCATTGTCCTGCTGGAAGATGAACCGTCGCCCCAGTCTGAGGTCAAGAGCACTCTGAAGCAGGTTTTCATTCAGGATGTCTCTGTACATTGCTGCATTCATCTTTTCCTCTGACCTGACTAGTCTTCCAGTTTCTGCTGCTGAATAATGCTGCCACCACCATGCTTCACTGTAGGGATGGTATTAGCCTGATGATGAGCGGTTCGTGGTTTTCTCCAAACGTAACGCCTGGCATTCACTCCAAAGAGTTCAATTTTAGTCTCATCAGACCAGAGAATTTTGTTTCTTGTGGTTTGAGAGTCCTTCAGATGCCTTTTGGCAAATTCCAGGCAGGCTGCTATGTGCCCTTTACTAAGAAGTGGCTTCCTTTTGGCCACTCTACCATACAGGCCTGATTGGTGGATGGCTGTCCTTCTGTAAGGTTCTCCTCTCTCCACAGAAGAACGCTGGAGCTCAGACAGAGTGACCCTCGGGTTATTGATCACCTCCCTGACTAAGACCCTTCTCCCCCGATCACTCAGCTTAGATGACCGGCCAGCTCTAGGAAGAGTCCTGGTGGTCCCAAACATCTTCCATGTAAGGATGATGGAGGCCACTGTGATCATTAGAACTTTGAGAGCAGCAGAAATTTTTCTGTAACCTTCCCCAGCTTTGTGCCTCAAGACAATCCTGCCTCGGAGGTCTACAGACAATTCCTTTGTCTTCATGCTTTGTTTGTGCTGTGACATGCACTGTCAAACCTGCGACCTCATATAGACAGGTGTATGGCTTTTCAAATCATGTCCAATCCACTGAATTTACCACAGGTGAACTCCAATGAAGCTGCTGAAACATCTCAAGAATGATCAGTGAAAACAGAATGTACCTGAACTCCATTTAGAGCTTCACGGCAAACGCTGTTAATACTTATGTACATGTGATTATTCAGGTTTTGTATTTTTAATACATTTGCAACAATTTCAAAAAATCTTTTTCCACATTGTCATTATGGGGCATTGTGTGTAGAATTTTGAGGAAATAAATGAATTTAATTCTTTTTGGAATAAGGCTGTAACATAAAAAAATGTGGAAAAAGTGAAGCGCTATGAATACTTTCGGGATGCACCGTACCTGTTAGTAAATATTCAGAGCAGTTACATGGAGACTTGCTGCTGTTTTGCTCCATCGAGAGGACTGTCATCCTTGTAACTTTGGGCGTCTTCTTTTTAGTTACATGGAGATCTGCTGCTGAATAAAATGAAGCAACTGTGAACCACTGACTCAGTGATTCATGAATAAAGAGGCTTACTTTCCTTGTGAAGAGTATCAATGGAATGTTGAGTACTCAGGAAACCTTTGCAGGAGTTTTGAGATGATTTGTTTTTTTATGTGCTGATTCGTTGATAATCAAACTATTTCTGTCCCTGTAAACTGAATTTATATTATACAAAATTTGACAGTTAGTGTTGAAGGGTGAAAGAAAAAACTATTAACCTACTGAGGAGCTCCTAAGTTTCACCAAAATAAATCTCTGAAAACGTTGGGTTCATGAACTCTTAGCCTCCTTCTTTCAAGGTAAAGTGAAACTCCTGAAGAAAAACCTGTTTTTAAGATCAAGGAAATAAAATACAACACGAGAGAAGAAGACGGTAAGAGTAACTTTATTTTACTTTCATAGGTGATAAATTATCTTGCTTTTCGAGTTTCACTACAGTAAAACTCAATTCTAAAGTTAAATACATCTTTCATAAAGTTGGTGAAAATTGTCAGGTTTCCAAATTTAAAGAAAGGTATATTTTCTTTAACCAAGTTTAAGTTCAACTACTGACCTTTGAATCCAATGAAATGAACATTAAAATATATAATTGAGGAAGTTTATATTCTCATCTGAGCTTTTATTTTAACTTCATCTGAATTCCTGCTGCTTTGACGATCAGATTTCTTGTTTTAACAGAATTAACTAGATTTATTAAAAGATTAATGACAGTAAAAGAGTTTCTGTTTTTTTTTTTTTTATATTCAACAACCTTCAGAACAAACATCTGGAGACAAGAGAAAGATGAAGAGGTGAGAGAAACTTCAGCTGGTGATCTTTAGGTATTTAAGGATCAGAATGATCAGATTTCTGGATATTTTCATTTCTAGAATGCAGCAGGGCTTCAGTGATCACAGCAGAAACAAACCACCGGATCCTTCTGAGAAACACTCTTCTGTCGAGTCCAGGTCAGATCTCCACATTATTATTGATTCTTTTAATTCAAAGCTCCCTGAAATCATTTATTCAATCTGTAATTATTTATTGTCATGTTTAATCTTTGTTTCAGTTTGTGTGAGAATGAAGCTCCTGAACCCAGCTGTGTGTCGATGAAGAGTGACGGGTCAATGCATCCTCCTCCTGAATTCAGTTTAGGAGAATCTTCTGCTGATCTGAGGTCATCTCTAGTTACAGCTCAGTAAACAGAAGATAAACTTTCCTTCATTATTGAATAATAAATGTGATTTATCTTTTAATCTACAGTAAAGAGAATTGTAATCCTGTGACAAATCTCTCTGAGAAGAAGCTGGAATCTATTTTCAAGGTCAGTGTTTGTGTTTATCTTGGAACACTAAGAAACTAATGACATTTAAACTTATTTTACCCCAAACTTTACTTTTTTCACTCAAATCATCTAAATCACATGAAGTTATCTGGTGTTTATAAAAAGAGCACAGTCAGAAACTTGTGGGGGATTAAGACCAAAATGTTCAAACCACAATCATCGTCTGCTGCAGAAAGAGAAATGATGTTTGAGAAATACCAGAAAATAAAATATTTATCTCTGAATCAGTTTGAATGAAGTTTCACTGTTTAAATGTTGCTTTCAGGAGATGGAGAACAACATCATCACTGCTCTGAAGAAAGAGCTGAAGGGGTTTCAGAACCTATTAAATCCAGATCACAGAGAGAATACTGGAGAAGATCTGAATGAAGATCAAAGAAGAAGCAGAGAGATGTTTCTGAAGATCACACTGCACTTCCTGAAGAAGATGAACCTGAAAGATCTCGCTAACACTCTGCAGAGCAGTAAGATCTCGAGATCCTCAGATTAATAAAGAGATGTTCATGTGTTTCCAGATCTTTAGTTTCTGCTGGTGATTTACTGGTTTAAAAGAATCTTTTGCTCCTCAGAACTGATGCCTGTGTATCAGCAGAAACTCAAAACTCGACTGAAGAGTAAATTTCAGAGAGTTCATGAAGGAATCACCAGCCGTTGTGACTCAGCACATCTGAACGAGATCTTCACAGAGCTCTACATCACTGAGGGAGGACGTGGAGAGGTCAATAAAGAACATGAGGTGAGACAGATTGAGACAGTGTCCAGGAGACGGGAGACAGGAAACATCAATCACATGCTGC